TCTCAAACAACAGCGAAACGGTAAAATTTCATTTTTAGTAAGAAGATAACTATTACGTTTGTACAATATGAGAATGAATATCATAGGGCGTTTATCACTGATCAGGTCTCAGAATCTCAAAAATGGCAAAGGTTTATGATATATGTACATGCGAAAGGAATGATAGTCGATGACGAGTATGTGCTACTAGGCTCGGCAAATATCAACCAAAGATCAATGGCAGGATCACGAGACACAGAGATAGCAATGGGAGCATACCAAAAGCAACAAACGTGGAACCACAGGAATAAACATCCTCGTGGCCAGGTTTATGGATACAGAATGTCCTTGTGGGCAGAGCACATGGGTAAAGTAGATGAGACATTCAAAGAGCCAGAGAGTCTAGAATGTGTGAAAAAGGTTAACATGATAAGTGAAGATAATTGGAAAAAATACACGGCACATAATTTCAGCCCTTTACAAGGTCATATTTTGAAGTATCCACTCGTTGTTGATAACACTGGGAAAGTAATCCCTTTACCTGGATTCGATACTTTTCCTGATGTTGGAGGTAAGATTCTTGGTACTCGAACAAATCTTCCAGATGTTCTCACCACATAATTCAGTTTCAGCTTTGACTTCAAGATGATGTTAGATAGAAAGTTGTGCAAAGTGTATCACTTGTTGACGTCATACCAAATTTGTGATGCTTATTTTATCTTTGTTTTTCAGTATGTATGTTACAACTGTTATCAAAATCCCAAAAGCTTACTATGATAAGAGCTTTGGCTTTGTAATTAAATGCTCCGAGAGTTTCATGTTGAGAGTCAACTTGCAAAACAAATATTTGGAGTTTGTAAACTTTAAGAAAAAAAGTTACAATTTTCTGAACAACTTGAATTATTATTGGTTCATATATACTTCATAGTTGCTTACTTGCTTGTGAAGTAATAAGTGTGTAAAACAGAGTTTGCAATTATGTACAAATGTTAAGAAAAAAATTATTAATGTAAATATGTATCAAAATTTAAACCCAAAAAATCAATCATCATATCATAGAGGGACAATAACACAAAGGGTATACTGTTTTCTAGTCCAGAAAAACAATATTAATACATTATTTGTTAATCTGAAAACAGAGCCATAAACAGAATTATGACTCAGCAAAACGAAAATGTTGCCACACATTGAAAAGCAACCGCCGGATCAAATGTATCGTTTAGGCTGAAGGACGAGGTGCTCTTTCTTGTGCATAGCGAGTCCGGTCATGACGTCCATCTTTATATCCTCTGGTTTAACTCCCTTAGGTAGACTCCAGTCGAATCTATACAGAAGGTTAGCGAAAGGTATCTCCACCATAGCGACTCCAAGATGCATCGCCGGGCACATTCTCCGACCAGACCCGAAAGGTAAGAGCTCAAAATCTTGCCCCTTGAAGTCCACTCCTTTGTGCTCGTTCAAGAACCTCTCAGGAATGAACTCATTAGGGTTCTCTCCCCATGCGACTGTGTCACGAGAAACCGCCCACGCGTTCACCTGAATGATGGTCTTTGCCGGAATATCATAGCCACCGATCTTTGCGTCTGCAATAGTCTCTCTATGTAGAAGAATGGGGATGACCGGTTCGAGCCGGAGAGACTCCTTGATGACGGCCTTCAGGTAAGGTAGGTTAGGTATGTCTTCTTCCGAGACGTAACCTTTGTCTCCTACCACTTTCCTCACTTCCTCTTGAGCTTTCTTCATTGCTTCAGGATACTTTATAAGGTATGTCATGGCCCATACCACCACCGCCGCCGCTGTGTCTGTTCCCGGCACAACAATATCCTGATAAAAACATACAGAATTAATTAAAATTAGAAAATGCTGAAAAATTAACAAAATATAAATACTGACCTCTAGGAAGTAATACAGTTTAATTATTTTAGATTTTTTTTTATAAAATGGCAATAAGATAGAGTAAGTGAGTTATGTACCAATATCATGGCCTTGACATTTTCGTGGGTGAATTTGACGGAGAAAGGCTGTTCTTTGTGGATTTGCATCAAAAGATCAATGAAACTCTCATGCTCGGGTTTAGGGCGGTTAGGGTCAAGAGTCTCGTTGAGGAGTTCTTGAAGGTAAGTGTCGAGCTCCTTGAAGGCTTTCTTGAGACGCGCGCTAAGACCGGTGAGGTTGTCAAGGAATCCAAAATAAGGGAAGAGGTCGGAGAAAAACAGAGTTCCCAAAAGGGCTTGAGTCTCGTACAAGATGTTAATGAATCTCTTCATCTCGGTACCGTACTCATTGTACCGCTTCCCAAAAGCTTGTCTACAGACAACACAGTTGGTGAAGGATAAGAGAAGCTCACTTATATCAACGGTTCCTGATTGTTGGTCGGCAGCTTTGTAGATCTTGTCCATCATCCGTGTGCACTCTTCTTCTCTAACGGGTCGGAAACTTGCGACCCGGTTTGGGCTGAAGAGGTTCACCATACACATCTTCCTCATCTCACGGTAGTAGGCTGTGTACTGTCCGAAACCAAGCTCACGGCCTTGGTATGACATGGTTTGTTGCCCTTTGAGGAGAGGCCGAGCTGTGAAGTTGAGATCTTGGGTCTTGAGAAGCTCCTTAGCTAGCTCAGCCGAGGAGATCACCGCGAGGCGGCGGCCACCGAGTTTCATTGTGAAAATGGGGCCGTATTGCTTGGAGAGACGGAAAAGGAAATGTTGTGGGTTGAATTTCTCCATCTGGTGGAGGTTTCCAATTATAGGAAGACCTTTCGGCCCCGGAGGCAGTCGGAGAGACTTCTTGGTGGTGCTTCGGAGGAGGAAGAAGGCTCCGGCGGCTACCACGGCGGCAATAATTAAGAAGAGATCCATATTTGACTACTTCTTGTTTGTATTCGGATATTTTCTACCAATGTTAGTAGTGATGGTGTGTTATTATATAACAAGGCCAAGTCGTCGCTTACATTTTTTTGTTTGGTTGGTTGGTGATATTTGTTTTTCTGTACCGGGTGACAGAACTTGCCTTGTTTTTAAAACGTGATTTTAGTAGGTGAACTGGCTTCTTCTTACATAGTGAGACACATTTTAAAATGTAATTAACTTCTTTAAACAATATATTAACTAAATAAAAGTAGATAACTACTCTCTTACAATATATTATCCACAGAAACCTATGTTTATTTAGAAATCCTTCTTAAACTTTAGGAGCTCTTTATTTATAAGTCAACAAATAATTTTAAGAATTTAACAATTTTAACATTCTCATGATCCTGTTAAATAACAGATAATTTGTAGTTTAGAAGACTTTTTGTTCTCTAAAATAACAGCTTTCAAAATATTTGTTGTTTATATGCTAGGACGTAAACTGAATAGAATTTTATGCTTAAAAAAAATCTCAATTTTATTTATGTTAAGCGATTACGTTGTAGTTCAATGATTATCCTACTGGAGAAATAAGTTAATATTATATCTCAACAGCGGTTCTCATACTTCTCAGTGAAAGCTAAGTGATACAAAGATTCAACCTTTTCTTTCTATTTAATTATTTTTTTCCTAAGATTAATTTCAGCTTAAAAACAAATTTTCAACTTTGAATTTTTTTTTTTCGGAAAACGACGACCAACATGTCCCATTTCCTGCGCAGCCAGTTTTGAAAGCAAATGCCGTCACAATACACCACTTTTGTTTTTAATAATAAACCACATAATATAACCAATTGCAATGTTGTTAGAGGTATAATATATTTGTCATTTTACCGGTTTTACATTAGATTTTTACATATTTTAATAAATATCCAATGTTTTTTCAAGATATCCAATGTTTTGGCAGATTATCTTGGCACAAAAGATATAAAATGGCATAAATTTGGAGAGTTGAACATTGAACAGCTTTCAAACTCCGGAAGTTCGATTTTCTTTGAAGAATGATGTCTCAGTTGTAGTTGTAGAGATTGACTAATGGAAGATTTTAGACTTTGGAGACTGACCAAACAGATTGATGCAAGTCTTTGACTCATGTATTTTGTAAAATGTCATATTAGAAACTGCTAGAGGAAACAAGTTTAGGCAAAGATCGATTATGATTTAGTCTTGACACTAAAATTATGAATTTGACTTATAATCTTGCCCTCTTATAACATATACAACTTCTGCTACAAAATGTTCAACTATGAATTAAGCCCTCTCCAAAGTTGTTGGTACAGAGGAAACTGAGGATTATACAGGAAAGAGGCAAAAACTTTTTTATCCTGAAAAGCTGTAACAGATGCTAAACATTTTAGCTGACCACATTTTTGCTATGTTTTAGAATTCTGTTGAAGTCACTGAGAAGCTGAACTTCCTCTGTTCGATGAGCTCGAGTCCCCAATTGAGACAGTAGCCAAAGACTTAGAGGCCCATGCTCTAGCGTTCATGGCTCTTCCCTGAAGATTGCTCCTCTTGCAAGGCTCTTTAAGATGCATGCATAGCTGCACAGCTCGGCTGAGAAACCCGACGGTGTGTTCTTGCAGGCTCTCCAGTCTCATGTTCTGAGCGATCCGTCTCCAAGTGAACTTCGTGAACACGACGAGTGTAGGGAAAACCAAGTGGAGCAGTCTCAACAGGACGAATACAATGGCAAGAGCCAGATAGGTCTCTTGTCGAAGCATGTTCTCAGGCGATCTCGCCCACGTGAAAGGGCAGTTCTCTGGCTCGGCGTTGATCTCGTCCCCGAGATGAGGAACTGATACGCTTTTCTCTATAGAAGTCTTATCCAGCGTTTCAATACCTACAAGCCCATGAAAAGCTCCTTATTAGTTCCACAAGTAGTGACCTTTACAAGAAGATCATAAATAGCAGAACAGAGAGTACATAAATGAATAGCTACGGGAAGATCTGCAAGAACAGAAATGGCTTACCGGTAACATCACTGTAGAAGGCAACAAGAGAATCAAGCATTCTGTTCCCTCGGTAACGTGCCCGCATAGTTGAATTCAAAAGCAAGAGAGTAGGGAACCCATGAACTCCATACTTAGAGAGAGTGCTGCACCAACAACAACAACAAGTAATCAGAAAGATGATCAACAAAAGAGAAACAAAGAAGGAAAAAAGATTGTGGCTTTAAATAACCAACCTTGGCTTAACAGATGATTCCTTGATTGCAAAGTGAGGGATTGAGGAGTATAGAGAAGAAATGACATCGAAACTCGGTCTAAACGACCTTGAAAATGGACACCATGTTGCATAGAAGAGCAAAGCCACATAGTCACACTTGTTCTTATGAATCATATCCAATGCTATTTGCAACCATCGCTCATCACCCTTCAAATACCAGAACAAACGCCAATGAATAAACAAAGACAGATTTTATAACCATTCATAAGAAACAAAGGCAGATTTTTTTCAATTCAGCTGATATTCCAATCAAGAAGAAACCCTAGCAATTGAAGAATCCGAGCTCAATTTCTCAATTAATTGCGTAATTCGAGGCGTAAAGATCGAAACTTTATTGCGGACGTACCTCGGTGACGGCAACGAAATGAGGACGTTCGTCTAATTCACCAGAAGCGGGACAAGTCTGATCTCGAAACCCAAAGGTGTAATCTTTAATCGACCTCGTAGCACAAACCGGAACCCTAACGGAGGATGAGGAGACGAC